GCCATTTGTGTATTTGTACGAATGCTGCCCTACCCATTGTTGTTTAGATGGCAGGTAATTGCTCTTATACGGAATGTTCCAATGCTTTGGCTCAAGGTTCCCCATTGAGGCTGAAAGGATTAGGGAGGTATTTCGCCTTGCCATTGTGGCTGGACATTCTGTAATCGCTGAGCTGAGCTACGAGTTACAACGTTCGAAGTTCGAAGTACAAAAGGTGCGTTTGCGCAGTTGGTTTGCTGGTAGTGGTTGATTCACCCAGTTGACCTTTTATAGATGAGGGAGCAGCGGTGCCGAGGCGGGTGGATTTGATTACAGATCGCGGACCTGCAGATGAAGATCTCCCGCGAACGATGGCTTTGAAAAAAACGATTTGCCAGGACCTTTTTTGGACGCGCCTGTTGACTTACCGTGTGACTTGATTTTTTGTTTTGGATTCATGGAGCTTTTGGCATCACATTTGAGTTGTAAGCAGCCTGTCTGCCAGGATGAGGACCGTTTGGATTTGGCTCGCAGTGAAGTCAGGGTGTTGCGCCTTGTGGCTGGCGAGGCCAGCGTTGTGGTTGTCAGTGGCTTGCTGTGGTGGCTTGTTGAGTTGAATTTGTTTGTTCGCCGCCTTCAGAGTGGGGTTGTTTGATTTATCCCTTGAGTGCCCAAACGCAAAGTATCCCTAAAGTCCAGCCGCTCAATTTCTGCAGGCTATCCCAGCAGTGCTTCTTGCTGTGCCCAACTGCAGAATAGCTTTCCAGTGCCTAACCGTTTATCCTTGCAGTGCCCAAATGCAGACAAACCTTGCAATTGCCAACTGCAGAGTACCTTGCAGCGCGCAACCGCAGAATATCCTGGCAGTACAGTGCCCTGCCGAAGAAGAATCATGCAGTCCTCAGCTGAAAAATATCCCTGCAGTGCCCAACACGGAATATCCAGGAGTACCCGACCCCGGAGCTCAACTGCGGAGGCAACGCTGCCACGCCAACGGTAGTGCTTGGAATGTACAACTGTCAGGTCTGCAGGGTGGCGCGACGTTCCAGAATTGCACTGCTAATGCATGATCCACATTATTGCTGGAAGTAGTTGATGATGCTAGCAAAACAAAGGAAGGATGGGGATGTTCGAAGTCGATTACTCATATTTGTTTTTTGCGATCTTGTGTAACAATGGTAAACTGGCTGGAAAAGCCTTTGAGCCCATGCGTATCTGCAAATTCAAAACGGTCGGTCGTCTGACTTGCGAAAGCGCAACCGCGGGACGATGCCGTCGGCAAGGGCCGGCTCTCAACTTTTTGGGGTCATGTGCGCGCTTGCACACTTGCAGGTTGATTCAGAGATTTTTTTTGTTATGAGATGTTTTGTATCCCTGCACGCTGCACTTCTTGGGGGTCTCACGTTGTTTCTTTCTTGGCAACCCTCAGTGGTCAAATGTGTCATCCCGTGGGCTGTCAGTGACAGGCAAACCGACCAGGTCAGAAATTTGTGGCGCGTTACTTCGCACACCAGGACCTCGCCCACCATCTTGTCCAATGTGGATCTGAATGATAATGGCTGCGCATTATCAAGCGCAGAGGTAGGCATTCCTGCTTCCAGGAGCTGTCAGGTCAGGGCCGTGGAGGAGCAGAGGCCATGCCAATGGATCACTCGATTGCACTGTTAGCGAAAATGCATTTAGCTTGCCCACAAGGTGCAGTTACTTTTGGAATGGTGTGATGGTGGGCGGCTTTTGGACAGACGCTAGGTTGGTTTACTGGACATGTTTTATCTGTCCCCATATGATTTGCATTTGAAGCTGAAACTATTTTGTTGGCCCTTGGCACCATCAAGGAATATTGCAAGGCAAAGAAGTTGCAACTGGGCCACTCGACTCCTGAATCCAGGTTCCATTTTTGGCAGCGCACGGATACCCCCCAAGGCTTGTGTCATGAGGTGCTGTCCAAACATGGCCGAGGCACCTTGGCACAAAGTAAACCAGTCAAGGCGTCCAGGTTGTTGCTCACCAAAATTTTGTGAACACGACGGAAAACTTGGTTTCAGCGCTCAAGGCTGAAACGAGAAATATTTCGCGTGAAGTGGCAGCTGGGCTGGCGTTGCTGGGCGGCCTTGTGATTCAATCTTTCATGTTGGTACGCATGTTACAGCTTTAGTGTGCAGCGCAAGTGCGTCAGTGCGTGAGTGCGGGAGTGTGTGAGTACGTTTGTGCATGAGTGCGTGCGTGCGTGCTTGAGTGAATGACTGGGTGATGCAGTGCTCAAAGACTCGTTCAAGTTCAAAAGTTGCCGCTTAACCGCTCAACGATGCAACTAGTCAGACACCTTCGGCACCAGAGGTTTCTCCATGGTCTGGGAATTGTGACATGGTTGCATCATGTAGCGTTTTTGCGATGAAGCGGTGCTAGATGATCACGGATTGACAACTCTGCAGATGCAGCACAGGTGCATTATGACCTGAAGCCAGAGGCGGCCAAACGGCGCAGTTGTGGTTGTGCCTATGCTCAGCAGAAATACGGGATGGTGTTGTTGCAATCCTTTCCTTTTGCACGTGCACGTCCAGTAGATCTCCTTGTGCTGGGCATTTGTCATATGTTTTGCACTTCAAGTCAAAGAACCTGAGCAGAACATCCTTTTCCATGGTGGCCACGTCCGACTGTGCGACTTTGGCTCTGCCAGCGAGCGGCAGCCAGGGCCCTGGTGGTTGCCACATTTTTGGAATAAGACACATACTTTTTTTTAGGCGGCAACCGTTTCGGGGCTTTTCCTAAACAACGTTGTGCTCTGTGCTCAATTTTCTTAAGTGTTTGGTGGTTGTCCCTTCCGCAAAGTTGATGGGCTACGAGGTGGCCGGAATTCAGCAAGGAGACTGCCCGGCACATCGTGCGTGAGGCAGGTAGATCCCGTGAGCTTGTTTGACAGGCACCTTAATCCTGAAGTATGATCACAATGCTTGGAAACTTTTTGGCTCAAGCCAGCCGGGCTGCAGCTGAATGGAAGCCTGCTTGATTAGCAGGGGTGCTTTAGACAGTTCGGCAGGATCCGGCAAGCATGTTCATCCAGCGAGGACATTTTGGTGGCCTCCTATGCTGTCCCGCTTTCCCTGGACAAGGAATTGTTGCCAGATGGGTTTGTCGATCTTTCAGGACAAGGGACATTTGTAGAGGACTGTTATGCACGCTATGATGTGTTTCTGGCAATGCATTCAGTTGCAAGAGCTGATGATGCGAAGAGAAGGTGGTGCAGTGTCCGGGAGAGGGATTGACTGCATGGGAAGTGCCCGGACGATGAAACGGCTCCAGTTCTGCCTGGCCAAATCAACTATGAAGATGCGACTGTTGTTGGTGATTACAACCTTCAGTGAGGTTTCCATGTCATGCCCTGTTCCAACCAGCAGCTGAGAGGTCAATGACAACGCAACAAAATTCGTGATGGCGTAACAGAAGGGGCTTGGCGTTCAGTCACAGGAGTTGCCAGGTTGCTGACATCTTCAAGGATCCCAGTAGATCCAGTAGCAACACCCATCAGCGCCGCGCAGCCATTTCCGGGCGATAAGCCTAAGCCTTTGGTGGGCTGATCAGGGAATCATAGCTGTGGCAAACCTGCCTGTGGTGGTTTATTTTAATCCGAGGACTTGTTTCATTTGGGGGCGGTCCCCCCCCGCCAGAATAAGGAATGAGGGGTGCCAGATTAAAGGAAAGTCATTCTCCAGTCATTGGGGCTTTTGGATTCTATTCAAAACTCAACAGAAATGTCTTGAATCTCTGTTGCAAATCCAAAAGAAATCAATCTTCGATCATTGGGGCCCTTGGCGCTCTGTTAAAAAGTGAGTACGAACATATTGAATCTCTTTTTAAAATCCAAAAGCAAATCATTCTTCGGCCATTGGGGCTCTTGGAGCTCTATCAAAAAGTGAATAGGAGTATAGGAAACTATGGCTTTCTGAAGCGCCTGAACTTCTTGAACATCTTTGGTCTAGAGATTCTGAAAGCAGTAAGCATAAGCAAAGACTAGGAATTTACAGCACCAGCTGCCTGTGCAGAATTACTTATGAAATTGAAGACCGAGCAGCAGCTGCTAGATTTCAATCTTCATGATGTGTGTTTAATTTGAAAGCCGGAAGGCTTAGACCTCAACATGCTGCTTTTGCAGCCTTGGGACTTGGACCAGAGCTGAGACCCTCTGCTGTTGAGCTGCTCATGAAGCTGCTCCACAGGGCACCTGCAAGGGCTTGGTAGCTGTGAAAAGAGTGCGATCCCCGTTTACGGTTGGAGCCTCGGGCGAAGGCCTTTCAACTGGTCCTTGCAGTCTTGCATGCAGCTTTACTTCACCTGCTGATTGACTCCCCATGTCATCCAAAGTAAAAAGCCGGAAGTTTTACGTATGAACAAGGTAGAGCTCTTCTTCACGCAGCGGACGACGCCAATGTTTCGACCTCCAGAGCTGGCGGCTGGGTGCCCGGCATGGCCCTGCAAGGTGGCTCAAAGAGCTCCAGGGATGCTGGGGTTCTGGCGCAGTGCAAGCTGGAGATAGCCAAAGCGCACTTACTAACCAAATCAAGTCGGCGTGGCGGAATCGCTGCAGCTAAGCGCAAAGCAGGGTCTGTGATTAAAGTTGCTTCTGACATCGTGTAGTTTCATTGTGTGACTTGCTGCACATGCGTTTGCAGCAATTCATAATTGAGAGTTGGAAACAAGGATCCGGATTTGTTGCGCTTCCCGATCACCACCCAGGCCAGCGTGTACTGTAGTGATATGGGACAGCAACAAGGTTCAAAAGTGGCTCTCGCTCTGCTGACAGGCTGATTTGTTCATGCTGGGCTTGTGCCTTTTCCAGGCTATTTGCCAGGGTTGCTGAATATGGATTATCCGCACATCATTGAATAATTCATTCTCTGTCAGATGCTTTTCCGCGTGCACGCGTTCCCATTGGAGGGCCAGCTCGCGAACATTCATGCGAGGCAAGGCTCCAAGCGAGAACGTAGAAATCCGTAGACGTTACAGGCGGTGAAAGTATGGCTGGACCCGTAATTTCGGGTCAACATATACCTATATAGCCGCATTATACTAGTTTCCCTTTTCTTTTCCGTTATCCCCAGATATAGCCCCAATGTACTATAGACCTTAAACCCTGAGCCCTAAACCCTGTATAACCCTAATTGAGGGGGAAGGATCTTCACCATCGCTTGCCAAGAGGTACTCATTGCCGGCTTCGGCACATTCTGCGTATTCAAAGGAGCAGCTGGCCACCCTGGAGTCGCTTGCAGCCCAGTCTCGATTTCAGAGACTACACCTGCAGGGCATCAAGATCACCAGGTTGTTGCGCCAAGACCCTCGTCAACGTCCAACAGCACAAGCCACGTGGCAGCATTTTTCCCCTGCCTGCTGAGTTCTTGGAAGGCCTGCGGACACCAAGGATGCAATTTGTTCAGGAATTTTGGGGGACCTTTCTGTGATTCAAGTCATGCTAAACATGTATGCGTTTGGCGCGCCTCTTCCGAGCATGCCGCTTTGTGCATGCTTGTTGCATCGAGGAACTTGCGCTGCGGCTCGCCTGCACGGATGACTTGTTTTGCGATGACTGGTGGTTTCTTGATTTTGCAACCATTGCTTCTTGGAACACGCTGCCCTACAAGTGTTGAGCAGCTCTGCAACATGGTTCAAGCATGATTTGCATGCCTTCTGTGACAGGCTTCTGCCAAAATTGCCCCCATGAACGACCACATCTGAACACTTCATCTGAACTGCTACCCTTGCTTCTAGGATTTTTGTTGACGCATTTGCAGACATAACCGCATGCATCATAGTTTCCTTTGGCCAAGCCATGGTTCTGGATGCCCCTTTCTCAGATGTGCAAGCGTGGAGAGGAAGGAAGCTGCAAAGCATTCCTTGTCTTGATGCAAGCTGTGTTTCCGAGGCATCGGTTCCCGAACAGTGTGTGGAGTTCACCCGGCTGTGTGAGAATCCTTGCAAGAAATGGCTTAGCTAGATAGCCGGGTAGCACTGTGGATGTAGCAGTGTCTTTGAGACGCTCCATGGACAAGCTTGACTGCGCTGGGATTTTGCGCCAGCCAGTGGTGACGGTGTGCACTCATTTAACTCTGCAGGAAAGAAGATGCTTTGCAAATGCGATGGGTCTTGATGGAGCTGAGCCAAGATGAGTTGGAGCTGGCAAAAAGAGGGGAGGCGTGGCATAAGCGATGATGAGCGTGCTGTGGTTTATGTTTGTATGATCCTTAGTAGGACAACAGCAGATAAGAGTGTCAAACCAACTGCAGGGAAACTTTCCGTGCCTGCGTGTTGGCATGCTTATGAACCGTTGCACCTTCAAGCAGACTGAAGGCCCAAAAGCTGACATATCAGCTTTTAATGAAGAACTCCGCTGCTAGCCTGCACTGTTGCCGATTGCGGGCTTTGTAACTGGGTGGCTGTTGGGCTTTTTGGAGTTGGACATTTTCGCACCGTGCTTAACTGCACTGAACATCGATTTCACGTCAACTATTGTTTTGATGTGGCATCCTTCCAAAAATTCAACAGATTTACTGGGAGGAAATGTCCATAATGTGCCTCTCTTTTCTTGAGCCCAGTATAAAAGCTGAGGAGGCAGCCTCTGCTTTGCAGCCTTCGCCGCCCCCCTCCTCAGCATTCCGTGCAGCTGCGGAAGCCTCCATGCGGCGCGAGCACCTGGGGCTTCTTATGTTTGGGGCTCAGGGGTGCACGTGTTGTGCAAGGTTCTGCCGGGTGCCTATGATCCGGCCACTTTTTTAGGAGCGGTTGCTGGTCGTGTTTGACAGCCCTACTCCAGCGACGGCTAGCTTCTCGCTGACCGTATGCTGATTGCTTGAGCCAAGGAAAGTGGACGCAGCCATCAAGGAAAAGGTTGACAAAGAGACTGCTGTACTCAAAGCGCAGAGCCCTGGTTTGCATTTCGTGGACTTGGTGTGTAGGATTTAATCAGTATACAGCTTCCTTATTAGGATTTATACTGAGCTGCTGCCGGGCTTCAGTGAGGCCACTTTCTCAGTGTTTTGGTGTTCAGTTTTCTGGCATTGGGTCAACGCGGGAATGTGCACGCTCGTTCATAAGGTTGGGATGAAAACACGCAAGGGTGAAATCGAAGCAGCTTGCCCTTCCTTTTCCGAGGATCTCTGCCGAGGCCGCCCAGCGCCGGCGGCTCTTCTCGGAGCTCCGTTGACTGGCCAAATTACATCAAGATGCAACACTTAAACATCACTTAAGTTCGACCCAGAGCAGGGATCCCTGATGTAGATTGGGGCCCTGCTTCTCTTTCCCAAGTTTCGAATGCGTCTATTAAGAGCAGGGCACGTTGATTTTTTTGTTTAAGCTGCGGGAGTGTTGCGGCTCCTCAGCAGGACGTTGCACATCCACTCTCTGCCTGTGAGAAGTTCAAGTCAGCCCAGGGCCATTGTGAGAAGTCGTCCTATGATCTTGCCCTGCAATTTCTGATTCAACCATAAGATACTGTAAGGACAGATTCGGCACGTGCAGCCGGTGGTTCAACCACCAAAAGCGGCCGTGAGGCCAGCTCCGGAGCATGGCAAACCCCAGACATCCAAGCATTGCCTGATGTGAGCTACCAGATTTGACGAATCCACAGCAATTTTTGATGGATAATGGGCACGGTGAAAGCAGAAGCTTGAAGACTGGGTATCGTCTAATTGCGCCGCCCCAGGATGGAATTTCGGACGCAGTCGCTGAGAAGAGTCTAGCAGTGGGAGCATACCAGCAGCTGCCCCAAAGGGGAGGCTGTCATTTCCCAGAGCAAGGGATGGATGAGAGAAGGGTCCATGGCGGAGGGTGCCTCACCGGCCTCGGGTGGTGCTAGCAAGCGAGAACCCACCTCACGCATGCTCCGCATGCTCCTTTGAGCTGTGAAGCTGCAGCAACCGGCGATCAGATCCACAAGTGATGCAAAAAGCGGCGCTCATTGTTTGCAGTTTGTTGGGAAGGGGCCGTCATGGGCCATCAGTGCCTTGACAAATTATACAGGTAAAACGTGTGCAAGCTCTAAGAAGCTATCCACCAGGGCCAATGTGATCTAAGGACGGGCTTCTTGCAGTGCAGCTCTGAGGCATGAAAGGGGCAGTTGGTCGCTTAGAAAAAGGCGTGCTGACTGCTCCGTGTAATCAGGAGTATGCAGGGGTTTTATGGGAGTTATATAGGGTTATATAGGGCTTATGTTGTATACGTTGTGTTTTTTCACTTTGTAGCTACTGACCGCAAGACGGTTGTTTCAGAACTCATGCTGCTTGGGATATTATCCTCATAATGGGGAATCATATGCAAAAGAACATGGCCTATGACATGGAAGCTGGGGTTTTTACGTAGGTGATCCTTTCTTTGCGGGGACCCAAGAATGTATATCCTGCCAAGAGGAGTTTAGGCCCACCTGGTTCGGGCCCCGAAACCCTAAACACTAAACCCGAGGTTGGTGGTCCACTTTAGCCTTGACTGATGCCCTTGGCATTGCTACACGGGGGTTGCAAAAATCTCTCTTGGGGGCCCCCCAATGAGGGTTGTGGTATTTTGGGGTCTGTGCTGGGTTTTTTGTTTTGGGAAGCTGCCGCACTACATGGTGTTTCTACACGGGTGTCTGTGCTCTCAATGAGGGGCCAGTGTGTCCTTTGACACAGCTGTTTGGGGGAATCTCATGGCTGGGATTGCAAAGCTTCCGGTATTCAGAACTATAGGGGGTTTCCCAGAGTTAGGGGTACCATGTTTGGGGGTCTCTATAGCAAGGACTATATAGGATTTTGGGGGTCTATATTGGGGCCCTTTTTTTTGTGGGAAATTACCCTATAGCAAAGCACCATCAAGCAAGCAGACATTCCCTCACGAGAGAGTTGCTGCATGAAGTGTGTGGTTCCACGCCTGTAGTGTTTCTTTGATGGCCATGTTTTGCTCTACATGTTTGTTTTGAGTATGCGTGCGTGATGCGCGTTACTCCTCTGCCAGGATGCAAGGTCATTTGCCATGATTTGGTCGCCGCTCAAGTGTATGTTGTTCTTCTGCACTCGCAGGCGTTTCTTTTAAGGGTGTGGCCTGAGTCGGGCGCTCCGCGTCGCTTGGACGTTTGTGCCCCAGGGTTGGAATTGAAGCAGGAAGTCAGCACCTTGCAGTGCAAAATGCAGACATATGCAGACTGTGATGTGGAGTGGGGTTCCGGATAGGCTTGAGAAAGTGTAGTGGATTTTGCTGTGCGGGGGATAAGTTGTCGTACAGTAGCACCAGAACGAACAGAGATCTAGAAGTTCTGAAGGCTTGTAGTCCGGTTTGGTAGCAAAGCGCTGAAGTGGTCGGTCTTTGAGAATTGATCAGGGTCCATCTGCTACCCGAAGCCATGCCGGGACCCCGTGTCTTGTCTGGCTGGAGCTCTGAGGCCATGCCGCCTGCAGGTCCACGAGCCTTCTGGGATTGGGACGAGCTTCCTGGCATTCCAGGTCCAATGACATCCTGCTTTTGCTGCACAATCTGTTTTGTCAAGGCTGCAAGCTTGCTTTTTGGCCTGTTGTTGCTTCGCATCGCTCGCCTGCAGCATTTGTGGCTGTCAGCGTCCTGTTTGCTTACAGCTGCCCAGCGCCATCATGGATGCGTTGGAAGGCTGCTCAGCTACAATTTGACATTGCGTGAGAGAGTTCCAGGTATGCGTATTTCTGTTTCCAAGACCTCGCCGGCTTCTTTTGCACGCGTCCCAGGTAAGGATGATGCCAAGACCAACAAGGCGGGTAAGTCCTTGCTGCCGAGCACAGGTTGAGTAGATCCACGCCGTGCCAGCGCGGGAGGTCCACATCCGAATGCAGCAGCGAAACGGCCGAAAGTCCTGGACAACTGTTGCTGGTTTCCCGGAGAAGGCCTGGTCAGCATGTTCTACAGCTCTAGAGAGATTCTACTGCTTGCATCGTGGGCGTCGTAGACCATTGCAAGATGCCACGGGTAAAACGGCAACCTTCCCAGCCTTGCAGGTGCGCCTTCCGAAGTCCGGCCCCTTCGCTGCAGAAAGCGGGTTACACGCTTGTCCCATTTTGACCCCAAACTATTGAAAAGATGTGTGCACACGCTCAAGACAGTTCCTGTTGGGTTCAAATTCTGTGAAATGAGATATCCAAATCAAGGTGTTGCAGCAGGGCTGGATGATGCTGTTTGACTCTGTTTGTTGTGCAGGTAACGTCCTCCAAGTCGACTTCGAAAAGATCTTGAGGGCACTCAAGAAGCCGCTTGGCAAATGAGTGCCCCATTGAAGTTTTTCTTTTGCCATGCGTTGCTCCCGGCTCAGCGTATGTAGGCCTTGCCTGAAGCAGGACCTTCAAGACAAACGGAGTGCTTGTTGACGGCGGTGATCACGGCCGAGTCATGCAGCTCCAGGGCGACATTCGAAAGGAGGCCAGTTTGCGTGCAACCTTCCGGAAGCCGAGGTGACGTCAGTCTTTATTCGTTGGAAGTTTCAATCAAGTACTCTGTGGTCCGTATATAACCCCAGTATAAACTCTATTGATACACTAGTTTCCATTTTCTCTTCCATTCTCCCTATACAAGGTGGCCGAGTTCCTGATTGAAGTGACTGCCATCATCACCAAGGACCAGGCCAGCTTGCGCTACATAATCTACTGGCACTGTTTGAAGGGCTCTAAGAGCTTTGAGGTGCTTTGTGCAAAGCTTTCCTCGGGTGCGAGTCAAGTAGCCAAGCCTCAACACTCTTATGTGGTGACACGTTCGTGTTGAGTATGTTTGGGTTGGCTGCTTCCATGAGCATACCCACCTTACATGCCCGGTGGTATGTCCTGCTTGAGGTGATGATTCACGGATCCTGAGGCCTCACCCTGCGCCGTTGCAGAGCAGTTTTGTTGTGGACCTGTACAGATAGCAACCATGGAAGCTGCGTGGCCAGCCCAAAGACGCCGCCGTATTGTGGCTTGCACAACTGCGAAAACACAGTTAGCTTTCAGCCGGGATTTCCAAGAAGCAGGCTCCACAATACTTCACACGTAATGCAAGAAAAAACGTGTTGCTGACTCGAGCCATGCAGCCGTTTGTCACAGGATGTCAGACATGGAGCGCGGATGACAGCAGCAGCAAGAAAAGGGCCGCCAGCAGCGGAGAAGGGTGTTGCGATGCCTTAGGTGCAACGAGCTGCCTTACGGCTAACACCTGTGCTGCAGCTGTTTTTGTAGGGCTTCTCCGCAGTAGGCATCGAGGAGCCATGTCGCAGTTGGCCCTTTGCTTGGCAGCTGGCGCTGTGGCGCTGGTTGCTCGTT